CGCATAGTGGTCATCATCGGTAGCCGCAGCTGCTGCAACTAAGTCGCCACTGGTCGAAAAGCCGGAATGTGACACGCACGGCGACAAGCTAAACATCGACGTCGACTCGCGCCGTCAGGAACTGAAATCCGTCGGTCAGCAAAAATTACGTCCGACACATGTTCCGCCTCCGCAGTCGACAACGATGGACAGATCGGTCGAAAACGAACGCAGCACACCCCGGCCAGTGCCATAGAACCACTGCATTGACAATGAGCGCGTCTTGCATCGAAATAATGGCTTTGTGAGACTCAGCAATGCACTACTGATTGGTTACTCGACCATTTGGGTGGAGTTAAACAGCGCTGCTAGTGCATCGCGCGACTGATGTCGTCAAGAGAGGTAAATGCAGCTTAGGCTTAGCTGTAACTCTCTTGTACAAGAGAGGGTTAAAGTTCTCGGATGCTGTTGCAAATTCAAGCATTGTTTACAGCATGACGGTTCGAGTCGATGAACACGGGTTGCTGTCGTTCGATTCTTAAAAGCTGTCTCGTTATGTTTCCCTAAGTCATCGGAATGCTCATATAATGACCAAGACAGCCGAATGTTAAGCAGACAACGTGATGCACAAACCACGAATCCTTTTTTCGTACTATAACACTCTGCACGTATGCTAACATCAACAGGGAAATGATGCAACGGCTGCTATATACAAAACAGGAATAAGACATCAAATATCACAGCATTTTTTATGGATAGTCTGAAACCGATATTGTCCGTTCAAGCATCTAAAAATTGTTGGACTAAGGGCGAGAAAAACTTTTCTAGAAGACTGCGTAACCTATTTTGCGCATAGACAAATTAACAATCAGCTAATTCAACAGCCCAACACTGGTAAGCTTTTGAGTCGCTTCTTTCACTTCTAAACAAACGATTAAACATTTAATATCGGTTAATTATTAAAATATTTAAGCGTATCACAGTAAAAAATATCGACTTCGTGGTCATCATACTGTCATTCACACCATGTCCATTCAGGAGACATTTTCAGCTACCCACCGACCGTAGCGCCATCTTCAAAATTTTAGATTTCAAAACAGAAGTTTCCATCAGGGAGATCCAGCAATGACTAAAAGATCAGTGCAACGGGCACATCTGCGTGATGAAGAAGCAACCACCAAGGTAGAGCATCGAACACCAGAAGTAAATAAGCTGAGGTCGTTCTGATAGCCCCATCATCAACTGTGACTCTATCGACTAGAAGAGTAACCACAGCCTCCTTCATCTTCATCTTCCATCGCCACTTCTCCTTTCGGCTCGCGCAAGAAAACGCGTCAGACAGAGCTTCCAACGTTCCCGATCCTGTGCCAGTCTGAGCTTCGGCAAAAGACAAATGCAG